ATTCGTTATACTGAAGGGCTACGAGTTGTACTATTTTAGTGTGAGTGGTATGACACCGCTAGACATGACACTATTACCATCAACACAACATGAAGGCTTAGAATAGATGAGCCATTCATTCTAGCCAATGTAGTCAAAAGCGAATTTCTACTTAAAAAGCGTTTTGGGATGTAGAAGCGCGAAACAACAAGCTTTTAAGCTTATAAGAGCATTTTTTTTTAACTACAATAGTTATAAAGACCGCGATTCTACGTAGAAAAGTTTTGGTGACCTAGAAACGTAAAAGCGTAAGTTTTTTAACTTTAAAGCGCGATTTTGACTACATGGGTTCTAGCTAGTTAACCAATTCAAGTTTATTATGTGCAGTCTTTGAGAGAGACCATTATTGGGAAATAATGGTTGAAACATGACGAAGAAATTCGGTTCACATATCTTCTAATGAAGGAGAAGGAGAATTAGAAGAAACTTATCAATAAGACAGTATTTTAATTGATGATCTTGGGGTTCTTCAAAATGAGGAAGATGATCACATAAACTGGACAAGTGCAGATGTGAAGATTATAACTAATTTTGTCATGTTTGTAGATCGAGATATATCACTTAATTTCTATATTTGTATAAAGCATTGCTTATTATAATTACTTCAAGAAAATGGCATTTTTATCGTCACAAATAGCGCGCAAACGTTTCATAATTTCCTCCCAATCATTTCTTTTGACGAAAACGTATATTTACCGTCAATAATAAATATTTTTTTATGACAATGATTTTATATTCGTCGGTAATATTTAGTATTTCTAATGAAAAAAATGAAATCGTCACAAATAGTGAATGTGCGAAATTGTATCCGCCCCAAAAGGCATATTAGTGACGACAAAACTCACAATTACTAACTACAATTCAACTATGTTAGTAAATAGGTATATATTAATGACAACAATTGTTGTTCGTCGGAATAATGCATCAATATTTCCGACGGCTTTACGATCCAGCACAAAAAGTATTTTTTTCTAACCAAACAGTACTGATGAACTGTTTATGGCGTCAAAAATATTTTCTTTTCTGACCAAATAGTACTTACGAGTTACGAACTTTTAATGGTGTCAAAAATACTTATTTCTGACCATATAGTGCTGCCGAATTATTTATGGCGTCAAAACTAATATTTTTTTTGACAATTGTGTCATTTTCGTCAATAATTATTATTATTTTTTCTGACACAATTTAGTATTGGTCAGTAATATTGATTATTTCTAACGCGGAAAATGAAATCGTCACAAATCATGAGTGTGGAAAATCGAAACCGGGCCAAAATACATGTTACTGACGGAAAAATACAATTATTGACGGAAATTCACCTCTATCAGTAATGATGCAAATATTACTGACGAAAATTGTTGTTCGTCGGAATTATGCATCTTTTTCGACGAAATTCTGAGTCGTCAATAAGTTTTCGTCACAATTGTCTGCCTTTTTTGCAGTGATTGACTCCTTCTTTCTTGTTGACTTGGGTGGTATTGATGTATTGATAGGTGCAACTCAATGTCTATGACATTAGGGTCATTGTGGAGGAATAAGCTAGTTAACTGTTGCTAGGAAACAAAGAGTCTATTCACTTTCATTTCTATTTCATCTTTCCATTCCATAAATGTGGCAATGGAAATGAGAAAATCTGTTTACTTTTTATTATGTTTTCTGTTCATTCCCAACTCTGGAAACAAAAAGTGGTAACTTCCTATTGTTTTCGAAAACGATAAAATGATGTTTCCACCAGTTTTCAACATCTGTTTTCTCATATTTCCACTGAAATTTTTTATTTGTATTGATGAGGTGAAGTATTTGAATTACATTCCTCCCAAATATTTTCTAATACTTTTATTTTAGTGGTAAAACCTTAGATCTGGGACCAACTTAAAATAAAGGGCCATATCTTATTATGCAAGATCATTCACTATAATGTTAGTGATCTTATCCATAACCAAATAACAGGTAGCCCCTCTCTCTATTACGAATCTTAAATTAATTAGATGTCCAATTGTTGAGGGAAGTTTACTAAGGGAAATGAATTACTGAGATTTTCTCAGTAATTTCTTATATATCCAAAAAGGACCAAAAAAAATATATATTTCCGTACAAGGACTACTTTTCTATAGAAAAAGAATATTTACATAATGAAATAATTATTCTATTAATATGATTAATAATTAAATTATTGAATTTTCATCAGAATAAATAAAGGATCAAAAAATTAATTCATTTTGAGCTAGTCCGAGAAATTTTGTTTTTTTATTATGGCGAAATAATATTAACTAGCTTGTAACCCGACCCGTTGGTCGGAGGAGCTGAGCCGAATATTGAATTATTGGGATAACCCGTAGATTCAACCATTAAGCTAAATTGGTCTAATGGTGAGTACCGCCTAGCATATCCCTAATAATCATACCAAAGTGAATATATTGGAACATAAACAGTACATCAAAAGTTGGTACAACCATGAAGTTAGACCATTAAAAACATACCAATGAAATTGAATAGCATCGAAAAACTTCAACTTCATTATATAATTACATGAGATCAGAAAGAGAACACCATTAATTTGATTTATAAAACTTTCATCTTGTCGTCATTGTGCTTTCTGGTTTTTGTCAGGCCATGATAAAATCTAAGGAAATCAAGAACGAACAACACGATTTGGGATAGGAACCGCCATTGTCGTATTCCTAGAGAATGGTGGTAAACACGGACTCACCTGCCAAACTGTTTGGATTGAGATTTTTATCGGGTATCAGGGAACCATGTGATTATAAATTAGACTTGATCAAAACGGGCCAAAACTTAAAATTCAGCATGTTTGACCGACCCATGCAAAATTCTAATTATTCGTTACTTTTAAACTTTCTATTTGAAAATAAAAAATAGTGAAAGAAAATAGATGACTGCAATTCCCCATTTGCACATCACTTATTCGGGAATAAAACCATAGAAATTCAAAAGAAACTGAAAATGTTTAGGATCGTTTTAATGTTTAAAATAACCAAATAGATCTTTCTGTTTAGTTTTTTACTAACAAATACCAAACGATTCCCTATAAAATACACTATAATTTTATCATTATGATATCAAATAATTATATAATATATATTTGAAATGATAAAAATTGGACTAATTGGGTTGGTCGAGATTGAACCATTGAATAACTTTAAACTACATTATATTTTAGCCACTAAAATATAAAATAATATAATAATATATATTATGCTAGAGAAAATAGCTTGTTTTAGAATGTCAAACCATTGATGTTCATTTGTTTTACTTGATGGCCAAATCCGGTGTAGGTCAGGCCCATTCAACTCTTTTATTTTATGGTTAGCGGTTAGCCCTTTAGATACCATGCATTAGTTTATTGTTAATTTTTTTTTATTTTTAGCATAAAAAGAAGTATTGTTTTTGCCTTTTCATATATATTTTATCACCACGGAGAAATACAAGGGCTTAAAGAAAAAAATTGACACTCCTGAACCCGTTTAAATCCGCATGTGTACGGTAAGTTGGCCCGTTCCACAGAGGAAAGAGAAAAAAAATTAACACTACCTATTCTACCCTTCCTACAAACGCTCATGGAGCAGGGAATTTGAAATGGGGGGAAGGGGTTTTTCCTCCCTGCTATTATATGTTTTTGATTTAAGAGGATACAACAAATGTACTTAGTGTGATTGGTTATGTTCCTTGCTTTTCTTTAAAATGGACATGGTTCGAATCCCAGTACGTGTCTTTTTAATGAATAAAAAAAAGTAATTGTGAAGACCAAAATGTCCTTCCTACTTTCACTCTCGTTGCAGGAAATTTGAAATGGGGCTCTCGTTTTTCCCTTCGGTGTATTATATTATATGTAGATTTAAAAAAAAAATTACAACCAAACCAAAACAAACCTTGCAACAAGCTGCAGAAGGAACCAGCCCAAACGAACCTAGCAACAAGCTGTCCGAGAAATTATTGTTTTTTAGTTGAGAGGTCTTCCTGTGCAATGGGAATTCATCCAACTACTCTTAGAACAGGAGAAGGAATAATTTTTTTTTTTATTGTGGACTAAGAAAGAATGAATCCTAGTTTTAGGAATAAGAAGGTAGGTAGCGAACAAGAGGCTAACACCTCCCCTAGTGGCCACTAACCACAAGTAGGCATGGCAACGGGCGGATCGGAGACGGTTTCCCACTATCCATTACCCACCCGATTGCATATCGGGTAATCCCCGAACCCGCTCGAAGTGCCTTCTCGGATGTCAAAATCATACCAGCCCCGAGCCCGGACGGGTATCGGATTTACCCGACCCCAATTAAATACCCGAAATTCTTCAACAATGAAGTCAACATTAATGGCAGCAAAGAATTCCGTGTCCAGCAAGCATCGTCTCACCTCTTTCCTTCGGGTGGTTCGTACTCGTAGCACCAAATATTAATTCCGTTCCGGCCCGTCATATCTGGCACGGCCTATTCAATTTCCACATAAATTAGATTCGTGTACGTTTCTCCTTAAACTCCACAAATGAGTTGTTGAGTGCGCTAAATGATGAATGGAATGTAAGGGTGGTTTGCTTGTTGAATTTGAAAAATGAGGGTTTTGGCCAATAAAAATCTTGGGATTTATGTTGGATTTATTGGATTATGGATTTGAAGAGTCTAATGTTTGCATGATAGATTTGATGATGGATTTGTTAAATAAATAACTAACCATCAAGAATTTGCAAATCCCAAATCAATATGTGGGATTTACAAGTCCGTGGGGTCCACGAATTTGATTCCAAAATAAAGACCAAATCCGTGGACCCCACTGATTTAGCATTCTTCAACAAACAATGGTCTTATGTTAAATCTATCAAACTTGAGATTTGGGTACCAAATCCATGACCCAAATCCAACAAGCAAACGATGCTTTTAAATCATCATCTCTCATCTTCTGTCCTGTGTATAAAATCCACACCGGCCGGTCAGCCTTCCTTCACCCACTCTTCTTACTCATTCAACAGAAGAAGGCAGTCAGTCTGGAAGAATACTGCGGCGGAGAGAGAGAGAGATGACGTCGACAGAATTGCAAACTTATGGGGATAACGGCGGCGTTGCTTTGACATGGAAGGATTTGAAGGTAAGGGTGGTGGGTGGTGCGCCGCCGGAGGAGAAGGAGAAGGGTCGGTCCCGGTCCATTCTGAAAGGGATAACTGGGTATGCTCTCCCCGGGGAGTTGCTGGCCATCATGGGGCCTTCCGGCTCCGGCAAGTCCACTAAATAGATTACGACCAACCAACGAGTTTTAAAGCTTGTCTACTTACTGGTGATTGATTGATTACTTCCATGCAGGGAGACTGAATTCTAATACCCGCCAAGCTGGGGAGATCTTAATCAATGGCCGCAAAGAGACACTAGCTTTTGGAACCTCGGTAAGTCACGTCCTAAAAAAACCTATATATATAACGCCTGGAAGATTAAGGTTGGGTTGCTTTGCTTGATGGATTTGGGACTCAAATTTGAAAGGTCAATTGAAATTGTTTATCAAATGTTTATGGACGGTTTGGAATCAAATGAGTGGAGTATTATGTTCATTTTAAAATAAATTTATTATCAAATGAATTCTTTATATTTGGGATCTCATATTTAAATTTGTAGAAATAAATTAAATTGAATTTTCAAATCGTGTTTGGAATACAAACAGAATGGAATTGAATTACAAGTTTCCAACCATACTCTTGTTAATTTCCAGCATTAACAAGAAAATCTATATCTTCTAAAAATGAAAGTATCAAAGTTACCAAACAAAAAACTAAGAATTTAAAGATCCATCTTAAAAAAAACCATTCACCTTAACCGGGTTTAATTTTCTCCTTAGCCAAATTATATATAGAGGTATAATTTACTTTGAGAATAGTTTTGTGATTTTATAATCAATAGTAAAACACTTGTAGAATTTAATCGTAATTTCCATCTCAATTCCTTGAAACCATATATTGGGAGACTAGCTAGGGTAGGGATGAGGGATCGAGTTACGTTACCTTGAGATTATTGCATGCACGCTCGTTCAAAACCGAATGAATAAAAACATAATTAAATATCATTTCTGCAGGCGTACGTGACACAAGATGACGCGCTGATGACGACACTGACGGTACGGGAAGCCATAACCTACTCCGCGATGCTCCAGCTGCCGGACGCGATGCCGGAGTCGGAGAAGAAACGGCGGGCGGAGACGACGATCAGGGAGATGGGGCTTCAGGACTGCATCGACACCAGGATCGGAGGTGCCTGGTCGGCGGCGAAAGGGCTGAGCGGCGGGCAGAAGAGAAGGGTGAGCATCTGCATCGAGATTCTGATGCGGCCCAAGCTGCTGTTTCTGGACGAGCCCACGAGCGGACTGGACAGCGCGGCCTCGTACCACGTGATGAAAAGGATCGCCCACTTGGGCCGGCAGGAGGGCATGACTGTGATTGCGTCTATTCACCAGCCTGCTGCGGAAGTCTTCCAGCTGTTCCACAACCTCTGCTTACTGTGCTCGGGGACTACTGTGTATTTTCGGCCTGCCGCCTTGGCCCAACAGGTAGCTACCTACCTACTTTTGTTTTGGAGTAACCTCCTAGTTTTACTAGATGCATTCAATGTTTGGCACTTTGGGGTCGTCTAGAGAGAAAAAGGAAAGATTTTCTTTGCGATAGATATTTCATAATGGAATAGCAAAATACGAAATAATATAATCTTTGCAGATCATACCATATTAAAAGGAAAGATATATTTACATGTGACATTTTAGGCTGCAGCTCATAACATATTTACTAATTTAAAACTCTTAAAAATGTTAGACTAACAATTCTACACTCAATATATTATTTGAATCGCGGTCATTGACAAAAAAATTATCAACATGTTAGCAAATTCACAAAATTGGTCTTTCTTTGAAACCTTAGTTTTTTTTATGTGAAATAAAAAAAATAGCATTATAACCAGACCACATACAGGAAACCCTGCAGCACCTCTCAAACTTTAACAACGTTCATATAAGAAGAATTACATACCACTCCTATCTACATTACTGCAAACTATCAAACTCTAGTTGAAGGGCAGGATCTTCACACACTCGATAGAGTACTTCATCGTGTATCAACCTTACCAACGTAGCATGATCTTTTATCACTTTTGACCCATACATCCAAGCACAGCTCTCACGCCATATATGACTCATAACAGCAACCACAAAACTCTGCATAATCGTGACTTAGCATTCTGCACCTTCCATTCCCTTGCACACCAAGCTATTATCTCTTCCCAGCTCCGTACAACTGGTGGTGATTGGCTTTTCATACACAGCTTCAACACAAATATTGAGTACGGACAGTGCACAAGAATATGATCTCTACTCTCCTTACCTCCTGGGCATAATAAACGACAACCAGAAACGTTCTTGCCCCAAGATAACAGGTTATCCTGGGTTACCAGCCTCCTGTGAATAGCTAGCCAAAGAATCAAACCATGATTACGGATGACTTCCTTCGCCCAAACTAACCTCCCCCACAACACTTCTTGGTTCTTCTCCCTGATGTCATTCCACACCCTAGACACCGAGAATTTCTTCATTTGCTCCCCCTGCCACAGTATACAGCTTCCATTTCCAGTTACAAATGGATAAGCAGTTGACCTGCATTTCAATAGTCGTTTCCAGATCCATGTTCCTGCAGAAGAAGCTAGGATTTCCCAAATACTTCTACCTTCCAACCTGTATCTAGATACCCAGGCAACCCAAAGAGAACCACCCAGTTGTAAGGATTTCCCATAAATGCCGCAAGACACAAGCTTTGTTCAATACACTAAAGTTTCTGATGCCTATTTTCCTACTTCCATCTTCAGCTGAATCCCACAAGAATTCATTACATAATCTCTCCACCTCCTTGATAACATATTGAGGTAGCAAGAAGATATTAAGCCAGTACTGAAGAGTGCTTGAGATGACAGTTGATATAAGTCGAATTTTCCCAGCATAGCTTAATAACTTTGACCTCCAGCTTCTCAATCTCTGCGTTATCTTATCCACTAGCACCTTACAGTCCTGCCTTGTGAGTTTGCCTGTGATAAGTGGTACTCCAAGGTACCTCACTGGAAGTGTACCAAGAGGAAATTCAATAAACTAAGATATTGTATTCATCTCTTCCTTTGGGATTCCAGCACAGAAAAGTTGACATTTAGCTGGGTTGCATCTCAGTCCAGAAAGCTTATAAAAGCTATCCATTAACCTTCTAATGCCTGCTACCCCTCTTATTGACCCATTAGTAAACATCATCAAATCATCCGCAAAACACAAATGGGTAACCATAAGAGGTTTACAACTAGGATGGTAAGGAATCTGCTTCTCTATCACTGCTTTCCTAACAGTCAAGAGCTTCCATTGCAATTGTAAACAGGTAGGGAGACAAAGGGTCTCCCTGCCTCAACCCTTTACCTTCCCTAATATTCCCACACATCCCACCGTTAACTTCCACTTTAATAGTTGGAGTGGTAACACAGGCAGCAAGTAGTTTAAGAAAACCCAAGGGAAACCCCATGGCCTCCATAATATGAAACAAAAACTTCCAGTTCACTGAGTCAAAAGCCTTCATTATATCAATCTTCACCACACACCTAGGAGTAATATTCTTCCTATGGTAGTTTCTGACCAATTCTGACACCAGAAGTATATTATCACTTATAGATCTCCCTTTAATGAAAGCAGATTGAGATCTGCTAATCACACTAGGGAGCACTAAAGCAATTCTATTGGCTAGCAGTTTAGATATCCCCTTATACAATGTGTTACAGCAAGATATGGGTCTATAATTCCTCATATTTTCAGAACTAGGTATCTTGGCAACCAATGTAAATATTGTACTATTCACAATAGGAGGCATGACACCAGTAGAGCAAAATGAAAGAATTACCTATTCTACTTCATGTCAAATAAGAGACCAGTGAGTTTTATAGAACTCAACTGGAAATCCATCTGGCCCTGGGGCCTTATCCTTACCAAGAGTCTGGAAAACCTGCTTAATTTCTGCTCGAGCAATTCCTCTCATCAACATTTCCTTCTCTTTGTCTGATAAATTGTGCTGAATTAAATCCTGATAATAAGAACCAGATTGAATCTCCACATTGGGATCCTCAGAATCAATCAGCTTTTCATAGAATTCCACTGCAATCTCACCAATACTCTGCACATCTGTTTTCACTTCACCACTGTCATTCATCATTCTAGTGATTTGCTGCCTTTGAGTTTTAATCTTCACAGTTTTATGGAAATAGGCAGTATTAGAGTCCCCTTCCTGTATATCTTGTGTCCTTGCCTTCTGCCTATAGAATAGCTCTTCTGACTTTTCAAGCTCAAGATACTCAGCACACAACTTTTTCCCTTTTCCACTAGCTCTTCAGTGGGGTTAAGCAATACCTCCCTTTGAGCAGACTCCAATGCCACTACTGCTTCCTTCACTCTTCTAGAAATATCTAAGTAAACTGCTCTATTCAACTGCTTCAGAGCCTGCTCAACACTCTGTAACTTCCCATAGAAAATATAAGAGGGATACCCCTCCACCTCCTTGGACCATGCTTGTTCTACAATATTGACATAGTTAGGGTGAGATTGCCAAAAGGTAAAGTACTTGAACGGCTTAGGAAGTGTTTTCACCTTTGGATCAGTGTTCAAAATTAATCCCCAATGGTCTGATATCCCTGGAGGATTTGTGTGAGCTGAACTTTCTATGAACTGCTCCAGCCATGCCTCATTCACAAGCACTCGATCAATTCTACGAGCAATAGGATTTGTCTGCTGCTTATTCCACCAAGTGAAAAAGTTTCCTACAACCTTGTGATCTACCAATTCCATGTCCTTTATCCAACCTCTGAAGTCCTGCATACTCTGCGTTATCTCCTGCACATTTGATGTTTCATTAATCTCAGCTATTGCATTGAAATCCCCCCATGAAAACCATGGGAATGCTATCATCTCTTCTCAGCAGCAACTCCTGATAAAGCCTTTTCCTCTCCACCTCTTTATTCGGACTGCAAACAAAGATCACTACATATGGTTTAGTATCCTCTACCAATATCTGTAAGAAATGCTCCCCTTCCTCTATACGAGTAACTTTCAATCCTGCCCTCCAAAAAATCCATACTCTACCCGATTTTGATTTGTCATAGTTATCTAAATGTTGCCAAGCAGAAAAAACTCCTTCAATTATTTTCTTACTATTTTCTTGTGTAACTCTAGTTAGGGGTGGCATTTCGGTTATTTCGGTTATAACCGATAACCGATTGGCCGGTTATCGGTTAACCGGAATAATCACTCTCCCTACCGAAAACCGCCCGAAATAGGCTTCGGTTTCTCGGTTATCTCGGTTATCGGTTAACCGACCCACTTTTAAGACCAAAAACCATATCGCCGAGCCTCCGATAACCGACCGAAGTTCGGTTACTTCGGTTATCGGTTAGTCGATAACCGGTCGGTTATCGGTTTAACCAGCCGGTTAACCGGTAACCGGTAACCGAACGGCCACCCCTAACTCTAGTTTCTACTTTCTAGTAATCCTACTATATCAATACCTTTCAACCTCAACTGCTCAAGAACAGCTGAGTGCGTATCAGGGGAATTGAAACCTTAATTTTTGCGAGATGAATTATTGGAATACATTGATTATCCGGAATATTTTTTTTTCTTAGTACGATTTTGGAGTACAATGTTTGTATCTGAATTTATTATGTAGTTTTAATCCATCAAAATAATGTATTATCAACCTTACATTTTTCTAAGATTTGGTATCCCTAGTTTCATATAATCTGTTATGAATAATTTTTTAATTTATCCAAACAATACAAACTTATAAGACACGCATTCCCAATATAGATTTAATCTTGATGCATACATTGATGCAATTCATCATTTACATAACCTAAGGCCCCGTTTAGTATCATTTTGTTGCTGTTGTAGTTGCAGTGGTGTTATGTAAACATATGTACAACCACAACAAGAAAAAAACAGAAAACACAAACCTGTTTAGTTGATAAATCTAAAAATCATGAAAACTGAAAAACAAGAAACAGAAACGTGTTTAGTTACAGCTATGAAGGGGAGTGGGGAGTCGGAGTGGCGGCGGCGGCTGGGCAGGCTAGGCTCGCGGCGACGGCTGGGCAGGCTCGGGCTTCCCTTGTCCGCCGCAGCGAAACCCTTCCGATCACTACCTTAGAACTGTAAACAAAGACTTCGACGAGCAAGACAGTACAACTACGGCCGAGGAAAACATTGAGATTCTGCTCAACTCTTACAAATCATCGGAAATCTCGCAGCAAACTGAGCAGCAAGTAGCTGCCATATGTCAACAGGGAAGGGCAAGAGGCCGTCCGATGATGCAAAAAGGAAGCCAGGCGAGCTTCGTTTCTCAATGCAGCGTCCTTACGCGGAGATCGTTCGTGAATATGTACAGGGACCTTGGCTATTACTGGCTCCGTTTCGCCATCTACTTGGGACTCTGTTTCTGCGTCGGAACTGTGTTTTACGACGTCAGCCACGATTTCGGCTCAATTCAGGTGAGAGCTCCCCGGACTCATACTTTCTTCCTGCTATATATATGCTCATCCAATTTAGTCAATAAGTCTACCCATTATCAAATCGGTCCCCTGTTTGTATATGAACTGCAGGCCAGAGGTTCAATGCTGATGTTTGTTGCAGCATTCTTGACATTCATGACAATCGGTGGATTCCCGTCCTTCGTCGAGGACATGAAGGTTGGCTTCCTTCCTTCCTTTTCACTAATTAAACATTCAACATTCACCATCATTACTAGTCCACAAGACATATTAATTAACATTCAAACCTCCCCAGTGAAATGATCAGATCTTCGGACGAGAGAGACTAAACGGCCATTACGAAGTGGGATCGTTCGTCCTCAGCCACGCTGTGTCCTCCATTCCTTACCTGATCATCGTCTCCCTAATCCCTGGAGCAGTCGCCTACCTCCTCGTCGGCCTACAACGAACTCCCCAACATTTCACCTTCTTCGCCACGCTGCTCTTCCTATGCATGCTCCTGGTGGAGAGCCTGATGATGATCGTGGCGAGCATCGTCCCGAATTACCTGATGGGGATCATGACCGGCGCAGGGATTCAAGGGCTGATGATTCTGAGCGCAGGGTTCTTCAGGCTGCCGCATGATCTCCCCAGCTGGTTCTGGAAGTACCCGATGCACCACGTGGCGTTCCACAAGTACGCGAATCAAGGGTTCTACAAGAACGAGTTCCTAGGGTTGGAGTTCCCTAGAACGAACAATGCAGGGGAAGGTGCAGGTTTAGTGCCGGCGACGATTGATGGGGAGGAGATTTTGCGGTATGTTTGGGAGATGGAGACAGGGTATTCCAAGTGGGTTGACCTTGGTGTGTTGGTGGGGATGGTGGTTGTGTATCGTGCGGTGTTTTGGGGGGTTTTGAAGTTGGGTGAGAAGATTAAGCCGATTTTGAGAGGTGGTGGTTCTACTAAAAGAGCTACTACTGTGGATGTCGATGCTTGTTCAGATGGTGAAAATGCTGTGTAGGTGACGGTTTCTGTAGTCTGAATCAAAATGTGTATTGGCAAGGGGGAATCAAATAAGCAATACCCTGTACTTCTCGACTTTGCATATAGTGTTAGCTTTGAAGTTTGGATCGAATTAGCTTGTGTTATAAATAAGGAGCTGAAGAAGTTACCTAGCCTTGATATATGGAGATAAAGAGTAAACTGATTGCTTGAAAAAGACTCTTATTCCATAATTGTAACGCACTTGTTCATTCACAAATACAAGGAAATTTTCACCAAAAAATGAAAACTACTAAAGTAGTAAATTTTACAAGCATTGAGCTGCATCAATCGTAAAAATGCCCCTGCTTTTCAGCTTTGCACACACCATACAGACACGGAATAAATAGAAATGAACTCAGACGACCATCACTTCTTATCTAAAGCTTGAGTTGTTAACATGGCACGCAGCTCTGCCTTTTCTCTGAGGAGTCACTGTCCCAAGTTCATCAACTGCTTTTCGTATGTTGCAGTGTATATGGAGACCACCCAGCACCAAATCACTTTGGCACGTGGCCTACATTCCCAGAAAACCTCGGTTCCCAATCCTCCTCTTTCTGAGTCGCTCTGCTATAATGAAAGCTAGCTCCAGAGACTGAGAAGCATTCAGCCTAGGGTCACAGTGCGTGTGGTAACGAGAGCTCAAGTCGTCAAAAGTGACTGTGCGAGATCCTCCAATGCACTCGGTCACATTTTGACCGGTCATCTCGAGGTGAATTCCTCCTGGCTGGCTTCCTTCTTGCTCGTGGACGTCGAAGAAGGCTCTTACTTCAGCCTGATAACAGTATAGAAAAAAAGATGATTATGATTTGGTTATTGGTAAACAATATTTTGCATCACAGTACTGGAAATTAGTGGCTACTGATAAAAGGGATGGCAGCTTTCTGATCAAGAGTTACTAAAATGGGTTAACAAAGAGATAAAACATACCAAGATATTATCAAAGGGACGGGTTTTCAGCCCACAGGGGGCCTTGATGGTGTTTCCGTGCATTGGATCGGAGACCCATGTCACGATTTGTCCGGACCTACGGACAGCTCTGATCAAATGGGGGAGCTTGACTCTCATGTTCTCAGCACCCATTCTGCAAATGATTGTTATCCTCCCTGGCTTATTGGCAGGGTTTAGGATCTCAATCAGTTTCACCAACTCAGATGGGTCCATTTTCTGGCTCACCTGCATGACGAGTTACAGTTTCCAAAACTATTAGTTTCAAACAAAGGAAGCTGATACTGGTAGCAGCATTCATACTCATACTAAAGTTACCTTGATCCCAAGAGGATTGGAGATTCCTCTAAGGAACTCCACGTGGGCACCATCGAGCTGCCGAGTTCTCTCTCCACACCACACCATGTGAGCTGAGCAATCATAGTAGAGGCCAGATGTCGAGTCCAACCTTGTAAGAGATTGCTCATATGGCAGCAGCAAGCACTCATGGGAAGTATAGAATTCAGTTGTTGTCATGATGGGGTGTTCTACTGTCAGTCCAGCCGCAGCCATGAATCCTAATGCCTCATCCACCCGATTAGCCAATTCTTGGTACCTATGAATCAAGAAACACAACAACGATCACCACTGTCAGAAAACATTGGAATCGATACATAGTTGAAAGCCAGTTTCAAGACAGACTTGTCTGCATACCTATCTCCCTGCTCGCTGCGCTCGGCGAAATCGAGATTCCACTGTGTAACCCTTTGCATTGCAGCATACCCACCAGTGGCAAACGCTCTGAGAAGGTTGAGTGTTGCAGCAGATTGGCAGTAAGCTCTGATCATCCTCTGTGGATCTGGAATCCTTGACTTCTCATCAAAAGTATCACCATTGATATTATCCCCTTTGTAGCTTGGCAGCTTCTTCCCATCTATCTCCTCATATGCATCAGACCTTGGTTTTGCAAATTGACCAGCCATTCTTCCCACCTAACACCGTAATTAGATAATAAATAAACTAATCTCAGTCGTCTCTCAACCAATCTCCTATCCTCACCATAAACATGATGTCCAACAGCTAAAATTCAGATTAACATCTCAATCCAACACCAAGAAGCCAAACACATATAAGACCAAACCCATCACCATCATCATCATAGAGCTATTCCTAACCTGCCCTGAATTGGGAAAACTAATACGAAATGGCCTAATTACCAAGCAATCCACAAAAGACCAAAAAAAAAAAAAAACATGCAACAGGACAAAGGGATCTGACCTTAATAACAGGCATCTGACCACCAAACATGAGAACAGCCCCCATCTGAAGCAAGATCCTGAAAGTATCCCTGATGTTATTGGCATTGAACTCCTTGAAACTCTCAGCACAATCCCCACCCTGCAGCAAGAACGCCTTCCCAACGGCGGCATCCCCCAATTTCTCCTCCAGGCTCCTGGCTTCACCAGCGAAGACCAAGGGAGGGAACTCCTCAATGGTCTTCAAAACATCCTGGAGAGCATTCTCATCGGGGTACTCAGGAAGCTGCAATGCCTTCTTGGTCTTCCAGCTGTCCACGGACCACTTAGCAGGAGAGGAGACGGCGGGGGCAGCGACGGGGGCGGCTGCGGCAGGGGAGGCCTTGACAGGGTTCTTGGCGGGCTCGGCGGCGTGAACGGCGGAGATGGACGGGAGATTGGATCTGGATCCGCCGGCAGTCCTCTTCCAGACGGACAAATTGGGTTGTTGTTGGTGGTTGTGGGATTGGAGCTGATTGTTGGAAGAGAGCGGGTGAGGCGAGGCGTAGAGGGACTTGGAAGATAGATTAGAGAGCGCCATTTGGGGAAAGAAGAGGTAAGCTCTGTTTGGCGGTGGTGGATCGTCGGATGCTAGGGAGGGGAAGCGAGGAAGGAGACGAAGGAGAGGGTTGGTGGGTTGGGTGGCCCTGAAGAAGAGAAAAAAACAGGGGAGGCAAGCTGAGGTTTTTATAAAGAGAGGTTTTGCTTTTCTATTTCAGAAAAAGCCCAAAACAAAAGGTTGAAAAAAGGAATATTATTGTAAGCAGAGAGAGGGAGTGGGGGAGTTTGGTGAGAGTTTGGCAAAAGGTCAAAGAAGGGGTAGTTGGGAGTAGGGATGGCAATGGGTCGGGTTGGAGCGGGTTTGGTCAAATCCAAACCCAAACTCATGAGTTTATCCGCCAAAAAAATCCGGGGTAAAATCCGTTGTGTTTGAAAAACTCAAACTCAACCCAACCCGCTGGGTATCCGCGGGTTCCTGGGTACCTGTGGGTTTTTGTGATAAAAAACTTACAATAACAAGTTTCTTTCAAAATAAAAGTTTTAACATCAATTTTCTCATACAAATTAATCATACAAAAAACACCAATCTAGAGCATACAAGCAAACCACAAATGATCAATACAAATTGTTCAAAATTAAAGATAAACATCTATAAACAAAAGATTAATTGAAAACTTCTTCCTCGTCAACTAAGTTTCTTCACTCTCCACTTCATAATATCAACTTCATTCTAAACAATTAGAAAGAACAAATTATACATGTCTCCACAAACATAAAGAATATTAATTGTTTAAGGAAAATATATTATTTAGAATATTAAATATACCGGGAAAGTAATTATATGTGTGTGGGCGGGTACCCATGGGTCGGGTTTACCCAAACCCAAACCAACTCGGTGAATAGTGTAGCGGGTTTAAACCCGAACCCGGCCCAAAACCCGTCAACACGGATTTTACCCGCATTGACCGGGTTAGGTCGGGTGGGTACCCGTGGGTTCGGGTTTTGTTGTCATTCCTAGTTGGGAGTTGGGATCGGGAGAAGACAGTGCTTTCAGGGGCAGTTTCGTCAATTCCGGTTAGGGAGCAGCCGAGCAGGGGTAGTTTGGGGAAATTGTGGGTCTGATGGCTTTGCCGGACCCGACCCGATGACCATATATCTACATGGAGCTGGGAGACTGTCTCTGTCTTGTAAATTGAGATATTTTCTTTCTTGGTAGTAGTTTGACAGTAGTGGCCTACTTTGGGTTAACCGGGTTTTACCCTTTCGTCCGAATATTCTCTCGACATAATTGTTAAGGGCATATGCCAACGTAGGAGGTTGGTCGGATTTGATTGTTCTTGAATGGTTTGGGTTTAGGTAACAAGCACTTACAAAACGTCCATAACAAAATGGAGATCCTGTTAGTTTTAGTGTAGCTTGTGTTACTAGCTGTTGATATCATCCTAGTCGGGTTTTGTGGAGAACATACCAGCGACTCATCTCTAACATGATAGTCTTCGATTTTAATTATGTTTTGGTTAACTGTTAATGCTCGATATACATTATGAATTATGGACAACACCAAATCGAAAGCCCGACGACAATCATGGCATCATGGTAGATGTCAACACAACCAACAATCCTTATTGCAACATTGTGGTTGTTCGGCAAGAACTTGACAACCACGACATTGTTGTCATGGTTAAACCCAATGGCGAAGGTAGCATTTCAAACCACCAATGTCCTCATTTTATAATGTAAATATTTAAGTATTTACTTAATATTAATTTAATTAAAATTAATTATGCCCAAATAATTCATAGATTAAAAATAATCGATTATACAATCATTGTTTTCATAAACAACCACTAAGGAATTTCATATTGTGAAAGAAACGCAAAAATATTTGTTGTCTACACTATTAAATAAGTTTCTTTCAATATATCTCACTAAACAAGCATTAGCAAACTGGTTGCCAAATCGACTTGGAAACTTGTTCTTAATATAACTCAAAACTGAAAAATGCTCTTTTTACACTAGCAGTTGCAGTTGGTAGAATCAAAACTAGTGGAATTGTCGCTATCGCTAGACAATTTTAGGTTTGTTGGGGAAAATATCGAATAGGCATAAGGAGAAAAGAGATCTGATTAGGTTTTCAAACACTGGGGTGCTCAATTAGTGCGATATTGTCCGCTTTGGGCCATGCCCGCACGGATTTACTCTTGGGTGTCCTCCCCAAAAGGCCTCGTACTAATGAGCTTGGTGGACACTTATATACAAGGGTTCCTTCCCATGTATTTTCGATTTGGTACTTGGATTGCCCCATAACAATCCTCCCCTCAAGACAAGGACCACGAACATCGTGTCCTCTCCTCAGCGATTATCTTTATCCGCCAGACACCGTGTATCGATGGGCCTCTCGGTACAAGGATTTTCCCAGACGCGAAACTCTCTTTGATCCTCCAAACAGACATGGATCTCTCCTAGATCCACCAGATAGACACAGACCTCCCTTGATCCGCCAAAACCCAAAATTGGATCTCTCGTGGATCCACCAAACCAGAAGCATATCTCAAATCCTGAGGTCACCGAGTGAGGGTCCCACCAGACTGACATCCACCGTCCTGGACCCGAACCAGGCTCTGCTACCACTTGTCGAAACCGGGCAGCTCAATTAGTACGATATTGTCCGCTTTGGGCCAAGCCCGCACGGTTTTACTTTTGGGTGTCCTCCCCAAAAGGCCTCGTACTAATGAGCTTGGTGGACACTAATATACAAGGGTCCCTTCCCTTGTATTACCAATGTGGTACTTGGATTGTCCCATAACAATCCTCCCCTCAAGACAAGGACCACAGAACATCGTGTCCTCTCCTCAGCGATTATCTTGATTCGCCAGACACCTTGTATCGATGGGCCTCTCGGTACAAGGATTTTTCCAGACGCATAACTCTCTTTGATCCGCCAAACAGACGTGGATCTCTCCTAGATCCACCAGATAGACACAGACCTCCCTTAATCCGCCAAAGCCCAAAAGTGGATCTCTCGTGGATCCACCAAACTAGAAGCAGATCTCAAATCCTGAGGTCACCGAATGAGGGTCCCACCAAACTGACATCCACCGTCCTGGACCCGAACAAGGCTCTGATACCACTTGTCAGAACAGAAGCGTGCAATCGATAATCCAAACCAACACGAACGAACACAAATTTAACGTGGTTCACTAACACAATGTGTGCTAGCTAATCCATGGACAGAGGAGAACAATTTTCACTGATTTGAGGAGAGTACAGGTTACAAACCAAATTCCGGAACGGACAAACCAAACAAACTAACATGACTGACCTTACTACAGACTAGGGTGATGAAGAGTATTTATAGAACTCTTCTCCTAATCCCAAACAGAAAGCCAAACACATTTTCCAAACATACAAGGAAAAGGGCAAAACAAAGCCCATACATAGGTCTTTGCAATTGGAATTTCATTTATAGTATGATAAATTAATTTTATGTCAATTTTGGAAAAAGTAATGAGTTGTGTTGTAGTGATAAAATACTCTAATACTACCTATAGGTGTTGTGTTCCACCACCAATATAAATATATATGGCGTATTTTTTGTTTTTCCAAAATTTACCTCTGTCTCGAGACAAGACCCAAAGGGCCTCCTTCCGCGTATGGACTTAAACCAACCATCACGACCCTATAATGGAGGTTGACCTCATCGTCATTGTTGATGACAATATCACACACTTATAGTCAGCATCGGCAAAACCAATAAGCCAAATTCTAACATGATGGCCAACAATCCCAACTATGACTCGATAATCGTTACAAGTCCCTAACATAATCACCCAACCAAGGTCGCTATGTCGCTATGTCATGGTCAACAACTTGCGATGGACAAGGTGATAACCAGCACCCTCCCCACCATTTCAATCCAGCTATGATGTTCACAAACCTTTTTGTAAGAATATGCTCAAAGGTCTCTGCATGTAGGATTGCGCTTTGTGGTAGTTGGATGAACACGATGGTATTTTGTTCATACTATATATATCGCTTACATCCGATGACCAATGATTATTCAGCATCGAATCTGACAGCGTCCAGCCATTGTGAGCACGTTCTCACAGCCTAAAATGTGATAACCATAGCATGATTGCCCGATTTCACCATGGTGATCAAGATAGGTGTCCGGTAACATACCAACTCCAATTCTATCATGGTAGTAATCATGTGGCACTGTCAATAGGGATGGCAATATTACCCATACCCATGGGAATTTTACTATCCAACCCAATTGGGTTGGGTATGAAATCCAAATAGATGTTAGATGGGTAGAGTTTGATGGGTTTGTACCCATGCCAATTTACTTGGGTTGGGTTGGGTTTTTAACATATGGATTTGGGTTTGTACTTTGTACCCATACCCAAATGCAAATTACAGTTTGGTACCTAAACTTAATAGTTATGCATATTTAGTACCTAAATTAATTTTTTTGCATATAAGTCCTCAAAATATCGATGAAAAATTACATTTTAGTACCTAAAATTTTTTGGTCTCACATTTTGGTGCCTAAACTTTTCAAGTTTTACAAATAGGTCCAATTTTTGTATTTGTAGTTAAAACTCCCTCAAGTAAATGGATATCCATATCAACCCATACCAATTTAGATAATATCCATATCTAACCCAAACTCATACACATCACCCAAACCCATACGCACATCACCCAAACCCTACCCATAAAAAATGTGCCTACTTGGGTTTGGGCAAAATTACCCATGGGTGGGTAAATTGCCATCCCTAAATGTCAATATAATAACATTGATGCTAAAAATGAGGTAAAACTAAATCCTCAATGACGATTACGAGCAAGTTGAAAAATAAAAGTAACAATCATATTCTCAATTCTTAAAAGTAACTCTTTGTAGAGGTAAATTAGCACAGTTAAAAAACTCTCCAAAAAGGAATTTCTATAAAGTAAATTCTACACAAAATTGAAATGCATTTAATTGATTTTCTGTCGAGAAACACGCGCTCATAAATAGTTCACTCCAAACAAAGTACAAGTATATATGTTAGAATCAAATTGGAAGATATGCCTAGAATCAATGATTATCCTATTTCCATAAAACGATCACTTAAATTTGGTCAAGTCAACGAACCTAAGTACCTAA